CAATATACTAGACAAAATATACTTCGATCACAAAATGAATCAACAATCTCACTGGCACGATTATCTACATCTCAGGGATCTTATAGAACGATTAGCAGAAACAGGAATGTTCCGAAGAGAACCAGTCTAGAAAAAATCATTAGACTCTACCCCAAATCCCCAAAAGGTTTGCTGTCTAAGCTTTATAGAGTGATGATTATAGAGGAGAATCCCATGAAATTGAACTATCAAGCAAAGTGGGAGGAGGAGCTAGGGGTGCAAGAGACAAGAGACAGACTGGGAAAATATCCGGGATTCACCAGCAAATGGCTCTAAGATATACAATATAAAATTACAGTTCTTCAAGACCATTTCAAGATAGTACTTAACCCCACAGCAAACACACAAATTTAGCAGATCCAATAGCCCTATGTACTGGAAAGGGTGCGGACAAGAGGGGACTTACCTGCATTGCTGGTCGTCCTGCCCCAAGATCCAATAGTTTTGGACGGATGTGAAACAACAAATTGAGAATATCACAGCTCAAAATATCTCTCTCTCGCCTGAAACCTTTCTGCTAAACCACTGGGATGGTTGTATTCAAGATCATAAAAAAGAAATTACATCAACTCTCCTAGCAATAGCCCACCTGACCATTGCCACAAACTGGAAATCTCCAGCAGCACCATCAGTGACAGACTGGCAGGACAAGCTATGGGAACACCTTGTCGTGGCAAAAATTGCTGATTCGCTTAAGTGTTCACAATCAGATACCTCACACCACTCCACATTTGTGTCAACTTGGTTCCCTGTAGACTCCTACTTACAGATTCTAGATATTCTCCCCCCTAACCCTCTTTATTTAAAGTGGCTAACCTTGTAGGTTTCAATTTTTTCCATTTAGATGATATTCTTGTAGATGGATGCACTGTAATACGCTGTATCTTTGAATACTGTATTGTACATTAAATTAAAATTAATAAAGAAGATTTTATACACACACACACACACTGCCTCTGTGGTAGCCTACTTCCAGATGAGCACAGTATCGCAAAATAGTCACCAAGGAAAATAGTGCTACTATAAATATCCCAATAAACTTTAATGTAATATATTCATTTTCTTTACATATGTTTTACTCTTTTACATATGTTCTTTGTTCTTACAGGTTGCAAATAACCTTTCACATATTTTACAAAATGGAATAGCCACTGACTTGATTGTCATACATAAGTGATTGTAAAGAACACATATGCCAGTAGTCCCAAATTATTTAACAGGTAAAGCACTTATACAAAAAGAGTCCAATTTTGAAGTTGTTGGATATGCTTCTAGTATAGATGTCTTCAGATGTCTTCATCAACAACCAAAATGAATGGGAACATGCAAAGCTGTGTATGGACGCTAAATAAACAATTACTAACCAATGCTATACAAATGATGTATTGTATTACAATATAATTTCAATCAGTACAAAATATTGTATGACAAGTACAAAATATTATATAACATATACAAAGGTCCAAAGGTCCAAAATACTGTAGTGATGAAATTTCCAGATAATAAATCCGTTTCATGAGTCTTCTTCTGAACAGGATCAATGTATAGTTTCAAACTGCAAAAACCATTTTTTCTACTTCTTGAACAAGTCTGTATACAGTTAACAGATCAACAATCTTCATACAGTTAACAGATCAACAATCTTCATACAGGAAGAAAAAATTCTCATGAGAGTTTGCAAGGCATATCAAAAATCTAAAGTTGGGTCATTCCATTCTGATTCTGGTGAATGAGATGGCCTGACTATAGATTTTTGATATGCCTTGTTAAAGAAGTAGAAGTAGAAAAAAATGGTTTTTGCAGTTTGAAACTATACATCAGTCCTGTTCAGAAGACTCACGAAATGAATTTATTATCCTGAAATTTCATCACAACACTGTTTTGGACCTTTACTGTATACATTATATAATATTTTGTACTTGTCATACAACAACCAAACATAATCTTCAAGGCCTGAGCTAATGCCCATACATCTTACTCTGAACAAAACACGGCAACTTATAACATTATAAGACCCCTCTTGATCTCTGCAGGTGCGTACGGAGGATGGTGGAGGACAAAGGTTGAGGGCTTGATCACTTCCATACCTGCATGTTCACAGACCCAGCACTGGAACACACAGGGGTTGTTGGGCAGGGTGCATGTTGTGTACTGAGCCGGAGTCATCTCTGAACAGTACCTGGATCTGGTTGAGCTTGTTTCCCCCGAACAATAGCTGACTAGGATCCTGGAGTAGACCAATACAGAAACGCAAATAGAAATATAAACTGTAGATATTATATATGCATGCATAAAGTAATAGAATAGTTGCAAAAAGAAATGGTTGTTGTATAAAAAGAAAAGTCTAAGCGCGATCAATGGAAGGTGGTCCAGATTAAGGTGATCCAGTTTAATGTTTTGTTCATCTTGATGTTGATTTGTGGACCTCAGTGCCCTCCAGGGCTCATATGGGGAGAGGCGGTCTCGAAGGTACGCTGTTCCCAGGGCGGTAGAAGGTCTGCGCTCATCTCTCCTCCCTGCAGCCTGGGGAGTTGATTGGTCAGCGCCAGGCTGTCTGGCCCAATGAAGGGCCCACGAAGCACCACGACTCGCCAATGCAAAACGTAACGAATTGTGGATCACTTCATCAACTAAGCAATCTCCTGAAGCAGCTGTTCATGAAGCAGCGCGAGTCGTGATGACTTTTGCTTTGTGTGCTGCTTTGTGCCCATCCCTACTGTGCAGGGTCTCAGGCAGAGTTCTGGTCGTTTTTAACTGGAGATGTCGGGGACTGAACCGGGGACCTTCTGCATGCCAAGCAAAGGCTCTACCACTGAGCCACAGCTGAAGTAAGTTTCTTCCAGTAATCAAGATAACTTTCTCCAGGAATACCAGGATTCAGACAGAAGCCACTAATGCCTTGCTCACATGACCAAACAGGATATATTGAAGACTTGATGGGCCTAAATTTAGGGATTTTGTTAATCCCTTGGGTTTTTTCCCACTTGTTTGCCTTTCTCTAAATGATTGTATCACTCAGTCTAAAATTAAATGTATTTAATTAGGAGCCACATCTCGTTCTTCCTTTATCTTAGCACCCAGCTTATTCTCCTCTGTTACTGCAGACTCCCTTTTGTTCTGGAGGAATATTTGACGCTACGCTTGGGCAAACAGCAAAGCTTTATGAAGGATGGATTTAGCCTATAAACCAATTTTTCATACAGTGTGACATTACTTACATTAACTTACAACCAGCATGTATGATTTCCTCCTTTTTCTCTGAAAAGGTCAGCGGATGTGGACTTGGATTGTTTTTGCAGGTTGCAGATTTCCTGGCCTCAGCCACAAGTCCTTTTTAATTAACAGAGGAGGAGAAAGAAGAAGAAGAAGAGGAGGAGGAGATTGGATTTATACCTCACCCTTCATTACTCGAAGGAGTCTCAGGGCAGCTTACAACCTCCTTTCCCTTCCCCTCCCCACAACAGACACCCTGTGAGGTAGGTGGGGCTGAGAGAGCTCTTTCGAGAACTGCCCTTGAGAGAACAGCTCTGAGAGAACTTGTGACTGACCCAAGGTCACACCAGCAGCTGCATGTGGAGGAATGGGGAATCAGACCCAGTTCTCCCAGATTAGAGTCCCCTCCCCACTTCTAACCACTACACCAAACTGGCTCCAGGAGACTTTGGTGGAACAGACAGAGCAGGACAGGATTGCACCAAGGGTCATATTCTACTAAAGAGCGATGGTAACAGGGCCGGCGTCAGCATACCCCAACAGCTGCCAGGGCTTGTGGCTTCTGGTGGGGCCAAATGCTATGGACTCCCCCCCCACACCCCTCTTCCCTGCCCTGTTTCTGCATGCCTTCCCCCAGCTCTTTGCTTTAATTGCTCCACCCCCCATGCTTCCAGCTGCCTAATGTTATTGAGGAAGGGCTTGTGGGGGTGCACAGGGGCAGCTCTCCAGGTAGCCCTGGCAGCAGCAGCAGCAGCAGCCCCTGCTGCCGACACAGGCCAGTTCTCTTGGGTGCCCGGGTGCCCGGGGGGGGGGGTGTTAGATCGCACTAACAAAGGACTCTTAGAGTGATTCAGCAAGTGATTCATCTTTATTGAAAGTAACGAACAAGCACTCAACTCAGTAAGAAACCAGAACAACAAACAGTGGGAGCTTATGCTCCTTTTAAACATAACCGGGCTAATGTAGCCACGCCTATTTACATTTAACAACCAATGAGATTGCTTGGTTAAGGACCAATGGGAGTCTTTCCCTCCTAGGGAATGGTATCGTTCTGATTGGTCGCTGTTACGAAGCGACCAATAGGAAGTTCGCTCAGAGGAGCCCTGGTCTGGCTCGAAGCTTAACATGGGAGTCCTATGAGGTGATTCATGTAATCGTTTCAATACATTACAATTCCTCCCCCCTAAGTTAAGTCATCATCCCAGTTGTTTTATTATTTACATACATTCACGTCATGCTGTTGTACATCAACTGTTCCAAAATACTTTATTACACTCGTAGTCTTTTAGATAAGTCGGCATCTGCCGCGTACGCTGAGACCTGCGAAGCGGTGCAGGCTCTATGGGCACACAAGGTTGTGAGTCACTGTGGGGTTCACTACAGCCTGGTTCAGGCACAAACTCTACTGGGGTTTCAGCCCCGCACACAGGGGTCTGCCCTGACTCGGGGACAGTACCGGGCCTTTCGGTACTCACCGCCTGCTCTGGGGGTCTCCACTCAACATCAGGGGATTCAGCCGTCGGAGAGTCAGCGCTGTCCCTAGCCCAACGTCTCCTTAACTGATCTATGTGGCGCCGCCATATTCGACCGTCAGCTAACTGCACCACATACATTCGAGTACCCACAGAGTCGGATATAACCCCAGGAAGCCATAAGTGCCCGTTTGCATAATTTCGTGCGAAAACCTTGTCCCCTTTTTCAAACATGCGCACCTTCGGTTGCGCCGTGGTACGCTCGGATTGCTCTTCAGTGAGGTCTGGGTGCATTCGGTTCAAACGGGTCGTGAGTCTCCGCCCCATTAACAATTCGGCCGGACTACGGCCTGTAGCACTACAGGGGGTGGTGTGCTGCAGCAAAAGAAAGGAGCCCAGCCTCTGGCTCCAGTCCCCTTCGTCCATTTTACCCAGGGCCTCTTTGGCCGTCCTGACCATCCGTTCGGCTTGGCCATTAGATGCCGGATGGAAAGGGGCCGAAGTCATTTGGCGTATGCCATTACTCGTGAGGAAGAGCCTAAATTCCTCAGACACAAATTGAGGCCCGTTGTCACTGACGATGACGTCAGGCAACCCGTGGGTGGCAAAAAGTCGGCGGAGCGCATGGATCACAGCAAGTGATGTGGTCGATTTCATATGCACGACCTCCAGCCATTTGGACATAGCGTCCACCACAATTAGGAACATTTGCCCTTGGAGAGGGCCAGCAAAATCTATATGCAATCTGGCCCAGGGTTTACCAGATGACTCCCAGCCTTGGGGTGTAGCTTGTGGGGGATCGGGTCTGACTTGCTGGCATTTGGGACACCCTCGTACCCATTCTTCGATCTCTTTGTCCAGCCCCGGCCACCAGACATACCCTCTGGCCAACGCTTTGGTGTGTACCATACCGGGGTGACCCTCGTGCAGCGACTCTAACACTCTCGTCCTGAGTTTGTCAGGAACCACCACCCTGTTCCCCCATAATACACAGCCCTTAGAAATGGATAGTTCATTTTGACGGCTTTTGTAAGGGCCGAACTCCGGTTCAACGCTTCCAACCGGCCACCCCCTCCAAACCCAGTTTAATACTCGGGACAGCACGCTATCCTTGGCCGTGTGTGCTGCAATGTCCCTGGATGATACCGGGGGTCGAGGAAGCTCCTCAATTGCCAAGACCTCACAGGCGGGGGCAGGGTCTGCGCCAATGTCCGGCACCGGGCACCGGCTGAGGGCATCCGCATGCCCAATCGCTTTCCCAGGCCGGTGCTCTAAGTCAAAATCATAAGCCTGCAAAAATATCGCCCATCTAAGCATGCGTGGGGACATGATGTTTGGCAATTGCTTATCGGGCGCAAAAATCCCCAGTAGCGGCTTGTGGTCAGTGACCAGCAAAAATCGTCTGCCAAAAATAAAATCATGGAACTTTTTGACAGCCGCTACCAACGCCAGACCCTCCTTGTCTATCTGGGCATAGTTCCGCTCTGCCGCAGATAGTGATCTAGAATAAAAAGCGATAGGCGCTTCGCTCCCATCAGGCATCAGATGGCTTAAAACTGCGCCTACTCCAAAAGGTGAAGCGTCAGCAGCTAACACCAGGAGCTTGTGTTCATCATAATGCGTGAGTACGGCATTAGATGTCAGCAGCTCCTTGACTCCCACAAAAGCCTTTTCCTCGGCCTGCCCCCACTTCCATTTTGCCTCCTTGTGCAAAAGCGCGTGCAAAGGGGCCGCCACTGATGCCTTATGCGGTAAAAACGCATGATAAAAATTCAGGAGTCCTAAAAAGGATTGGAGCTCCTTCTTACTCACCGGCCTGGGGGCGTTTTGGATTGCAGATACCTTCTCATCCGTGGGGTGGACTCCCTCTGCGTCAATGCGAAACCCCAGGAAGTCCACACTTTCCACCCCGAGCGTGCATTTTGAGCGCTTAACTCTGAGACCGGCATTTTGAAAACGCCTGAGGACCTCTTTAACCCGGTCCAGTAGTTCCTGTTCAGACCCGCCCGCAATCAGCACGTCGTCAAAATAGGGCACTGTGCCAGGTACCCCCCTTAGTAGACGTTCCATGAGGCCCTGAAAAATCCCAGGTGCTACGTTGACCCCGAATTGCAGCCTGTTCACTTTAAAAGCCCCTTGGTGGGTTACAATTGTTTGGGCCTCGGCAGCCTCCGGGGTGACAGGCAACTGCTGGTATGCCTGGGCCAGGTCAAATTTGGCGAAAATCTTGCCACCCCCCAGGGAAGCCAAAATGTGGCTTATTACCGGGACCGGGTACGAATGTTGCTGCAGCGCCTTGTTAATCGTACATTTGTAATCGGCGCATAGTCGTATGGACCCATCTGATTTGACAGGGGTTACGATCGGGGTCTCCCATTTGCTGTATGGTACTGGCTCTAAAACCCCTTGCTCAACTAGTTTGTCAATCTCTTTTTCCACCTTATGTTTGAGAGACACAGGTACTTTCCGATACTTCAACCTAATAGGTTTGACTGACGGATCTAAGTCAAACGCAACCGGGGGGCCCTTGTACCTTCCCAACCCTTCGGCAAATACATCAGGGAACAGGTCGTACAGCATGCCCCATTTATTTTCAGACATCCTGTTAATCCCAGAAATACCAATGCCCAATGGCTCAAACCAATCTAACCCTAGCAGGTTAACCCGGTCTCCCTCTGCAATCAGGAATGACAGTTTAACACATTTCCCCTTATACTCAACAGTAACAGAGTCCCGTCCGGCCAAGGGAATTCGGTTGCCCTGGAAGTCGGACACTCTGGTTCCCGCAGGCTGGAGCCGCCGCCGGCTTCGGTTCGGGAACAACTGGCGCCAGGACGCGGCAGAAATCACCGTCACGGACGATCCTGAGTCCACCTCCATTGTACAGGGTCGGCCGTCGAGGAGTGGAGTCACGGTGATCTTGCCCTGGCTGCTGGTGCGATTTACGGCCGATGCGCTCGACAAGGTCGCCGTCAACTGGCAGCTTGCTTCCGATGCTGAGGAACGGGTCTTGCCTTGGGTGCTGACTGGAGTGCCCCTCTGCGCTGACCGGTTGTTAGTTGAGGGATCCTTCTTTGCTGATCTGCAGACTCTGGCCAGATGACCACGCCGCCCACACGCTCTGCAGTCGACATCACGAGCCCAACAGGAGTCGCGCTGGTGTTTCCCGCCACAACCGGAGCAAGGCTTGACGTTGGTAGTCTTCGCTGGGGTCCGCTTGCCTCGGACCGCGTTGACGTCATCGTCCGCTTCTTCGCCCTCGCTGTCTCGTTGAGCGTGTATACTGGGCTCTGCCACCCGCTGGCGGACCTCCTTCGTGGACTTCTCCGCTGCTTCCGCGGCCACGGCCTCTTCGTAGGCCACTGCCCAGGTCAGGGTGGTGCGGGCGAACAGCCTCTGTTGCAGCCTTTCATCTTTGAGACCGCAGACGAGACGGTCTCTGAGGGCTTCCTCCACGTTGTGGAAATTACATGGTCGTGCGGCTTTGCGAAGGGCCGCCACGAAATCCGCGATGGTCTCGCCTCCGGCCTGGCTCCGCTTGTAAAACGCGTGCCGGCAGGCGATCTCCGACGGTTGTGGAGAATAGTGAGCCTTAAGCTTCTCGGTGATGTCAGTGTAAGTGACAGTCTTTATATCAGTTGGGGCCACCAACGACCTGGCTATGTCGAAGGTCCCCTTCCCGCAGGAACTCAGGAGGCACGCCCGTTTCTTGGCCTCGTCTGTAATGTCGTGTGTCTCCAGATGGAACTCGAACCTGGATAGGTAGGAGTCCCAGTCTTCTGAGGAGGGTTCGAAGCACTCGAACTTCTGGCTTCCAGCCATCGTGGGAGACTTGGGCACCGGAGCTGGTGGCGCCTCCGCCGGATCGGCTGCTGTGCTCTGCTCGCTTTCTTCCGAGTCCGAAGTGTGGATGTCCGCAGGGCTGCCTACCTGCTCTAACATCCCATCCTCGTCGCCAATTGTTAGATCGCACTAACAAAGGACTCTTAGAGTGATTCAGCAAGTGATTCAGCTTTATTGAAAGTAACGAACAAGCACTCAACTCAGTAAGAAACCAGAACAACAAACAGTGGGAGCTTATGCTCCTTTAAACATAACCGGGCTAATGTAGCCACGCCTATTTACAAATAACAACCAATGAGATTGCTAGAATAAAGACCAATGGGAGTCTTTCCCTCCTAGGGAATGGTATCGTTCTGATTGGTCGCTGTTACGAAGCGACCAATAGGAAGTTCGCTCAGAGGAGCCCTGGTCTGGCTCGAAGCTTAACATGGGAGTCCTATGAGGTGATTCATGTAATCGTTTCAATACATTACAGGGGGGGTCCAGGCAACTCAGCATGGGCAACAGGAAGACTTGCAAACAGGAGGATGAATAGGCAGATGGGGAGCATGCCAGTGTGTGTGGGGTTTAAAAAGGAGGCGTGACAGGCTGTGCCTGGAGGTGGGCAGATGGGCACGCAGGCATAATCTGCCCAGAGCCCCCCCCCCACCTAGATTCAGCCCTGCATGGCAATGTCCTTTCCCCAAACCTGGACAGCTCTTCAGAGCACACAAAGTCAACCGGGGTGTTTCAAAGGGGGTGAAAATAGCTGCAGCCGCAGGGCTCTTTTTGTAGCAGGAACTCCTTTGCATATTAGGCGACACACCCCCAGGGGTCATTTCCTGAAGGAGTGCACAGGAGCAGCGCTCCAGAAGTAAAGAGCCCAGGGGGCGGGTGTTAAGTCCTGAGCTTAACAAAGAGTCAGAGAGTGATTTCAGCCAAAACTCAAGTTTATTCTTCTTCACGCTCACTTCTCCAACACGGTACAACATCTGATAGCCCGAACAGTTTGTCCATAGAAACTGTTCGGTATTTAAACATTCCCGGCTAATGTAGCCACTCCTACTTTACATTTAACAACCTATCAGGTTGATCGCATAAGGACCAATCATACACGTTCCCGCTTCCCGTTCGCTTGAACGTGATTGGACCAATAGTCTTGGACTTTAAGCCCTAGTCCAAGACGAAGCTTTGCATAGCTTCCCTATGGGATGATTCACCATATCCGCATGTACTCATGTCTGCATATGAATACATTACAATTCCCTCCCCCCTAAGCAAAAACAGTCATGAACAGTCATAATCGCTTAGGTAGGTAGGTGCACGTCTCGTTCTCTGAGACCTACAAGGTGGAATGGGCTCAGGGCACATTCCCGTCAGTGGCACTCCGCTTGACTCTGGGACCTCAGAGTCAGGAACATTCCCGTCCGTTACTGGTGGTTCAAGATTAGGGGTCTGCCCTGTCTCTTGACCACTACTGTAGCCCTCAGGCTCTACAGTACCTGCCTCTTCTAGAGGTCTTGGGAATTCCTCAGTTGACTCAGCCGGCTGCATGGTGGATCGGTCAGTTGCCCACCGCTGCCTCAGCTGATCTATGTGCCTACGCCACTTGCGACCATCTGCAAGCCGTACCACATACATACGAGTACCGATTACATCAGTAATAGTGGCTGGGAGCCACGAGTGACCACTGGCATAGTTACGAGCATACACTTGCTCACCTTTTTCGCATGTCCGGACCTTC